TCTCTTGATATATATTTACCACATGTTGCTTGCTCCAGCACAGACATCAGACCAAGGTAAAAAAAGCTGCTTCTCTCTCCAAGCCTTAGGGTGACTCAAGCCTTAGAAAGCTGCAAACTTGCAAACACACCCAAAAGAACAGCAAATCTAACATAGCCAATTTCACCTACTAAATGTTTACTTCCTGCTGCAGCTGGTCACCTGTCTGAGACATTTTTCAGTGATCACTTTAAGCTTCCCAAAAAATGCTATGTTATTTTTTATGGCAGATGCAACTGTTATCTATCAGAAAAAGGTTTCAGGCTGTTCAGGTGACTCTGTTTCTGCTGAGGGAGGCAAAGGAGACCCCTCTCCTTGACTGCATGGAGTACCAGCTCCCTCTGCTGCCACCTCGCCAGCCAAAAACTCCCTCCCACCCCTGCCCACACTCTGCTCCAGGACCTCCAGCCCAGCCAGAGGACACTATGCCTCTCAAAGAGCTGTCTCTAAATATCTACTACTTCTCCAGAATTGCTGGTCTTGGTCAGGAACCCTCTCTCTCCCAACCTCTACAGTTCCAGCCGTGGGAGATGGAGCTGGACAGCAGGCACAACGTTGCAGCATATCATTAGTGGTACTAATTAACATTCTCGTACAGAAAACTGACTTTGGACACTCTCTCAAAAGCCTTAACAAGTATGTTTGGCACAACTGTAGGAGAAACTGGATTCTACAGTTCCATCATATAACAAACAGCTCAGTGGCTGACCCAGGAAAACAGCAGCACGATGAATGCATCCCAGTAAGAACTGGTAAGCAGATAGTGCAATTAGTCCTCCTTGAGTTTCGCTAAGCCATCAACAATCCAAATAAATGCTTCTAATTTTGTTAAAAACTTTGCTCCCAATCTTTCGTTAATTTCTTTTACATCATAGTAGTAACTTGGAATCTTTTAAGAACTTTAATAATTACCTCCTTACCCTTCATTTTAACAAAGAGAAAAAAAACCTCTAAGATGAAGGCAGTGTTTACACAAAGCACAGAGGTCAGTCTCAAACCACTGATAAGCCACTACAGGAAGTGGAGTTAACAGACTCCTGGGAGAAAGGGACAGACAATATGGAAAAGTAACCAAGCTACAGAATAAAATCTTACTTTCAGCGGCACACAGCTATTCCTCACACTGAATGTCTCACATCTTGGTATCAATAAACCATTAGGTGCTATGAGCTCCCTTCTGCTCGTTAGCCCTTAAAAGAAGGGCTGCCTGCAAATCACAGCTGCCTACTCAGCACTTACTGATCTGCAGGAGAAACTCAGCTCTTAAGTCCATCCACACAGACCCCTCACAGCTACAGACAAGCATTAAAGTACCAATTAATACAGAATTAGAACCAAACTACATGGAACAGCATTATTATCTTTGTCTCGTGATGTTGAAAACACAAATTACGGCTTTCTTTTTTCTAAGGGCGCAAACGTGATTGTTCAGCACTCGGTATCAGCCTGACTTTTAACTCCAGTAAAAAGAATCTGGGAAAAGTGCACTCTGACAAGGGCAGTACTTTCTTACTTGAGTTCCAGTTGCTGAACCGCTGCTGCTTTTCATCTGAAAATCATCAACAAACACTAAAACTGTTTTCTTAAAAACACAAAACTGCAGGGAATGTATGAAAGAAAGATAGGAGAGTGAATGTACGTGTATACACGTCTGTAGAGAGGCATATAGACTGTCTCAACAAAAAAAAACCCACATTTTTTTGCCCCTTTCCAGCCTTGTGGTCTCTTGCCTACTAAGGGCTGTGGGACCAGCTCTCAGACAAGACTGAACTATGCCCGAGACATGCATTTCTTCAGCCCTGGCTGTAACACTCACTTCAGGTCTTAGAGTTTATTTTACAATTTGTCCCATCTTTTTTCTTCAACAGCTTTCAGATAGTTCTGTGGCTGAAATCCCTCAATCTTCTCTCATTCCTGGGATGCTATTTAATAATCCTGTTTCCCAGATTTTTCATCCAATATGATAGAATAGAAACAGTTACCGACTTTTACTTATTTCTGCTACTGTTTAAAGAGCAGCTTAATGTTCTCCAGAGATTCCTGGGGTTTATGGTACTTATTTCTACTTTTTGCATGTGTTTTTTTCAGAAATGCTGGGAAAAACAATTTAGAAATTCCAGTGCTTCTGATTGTACTGAAAGTATGTAAAGAATTTGTGGAGCAGGATCTACTGACTGAACTTCAGAAACTATACATAAATTAGAAGCTTATTTTTATTTCACAGAAAACTTACTGTTAGGCAGTATTTTGACAGAGACCACTTATTTAATCAAACATAGAACTAGAGCCTGCACTTAGGGCTGAAGCCTCACGCCAGCTTGTGTTCTGCCTGGTTAATGGCTGCATCATTCAGAAATAAACACACTAGTAAAGGCTACCAGTGCTCTTTTTTTTTTACTGGGAGAATTACATCTCCTATTCCATAAGTATCACTGCTTCCATCTGTTTCACAAGCACACACATCCTTAGTTACTCCAATCTGTTGTGGTTGTGCCTGGAGTGAATGTGCAGAATATCCCTAAGTGTTTTTTTTTCCCAGCGCTCCTTTTCACGACAAATTCCCTGTGTCCCAGTGTATTCACAGGTTGAAGAGAGTGAAAAAGATCAAAAAGCCCAAAACATTCATCCACTTTCTTCCCCCTCTATTTGAGGGATATCTAAAAAATGCCTTATACAAAATTGCTAACATTTCTGACAAAGCTGAAGCAGTGGTATTGCACAAACGTTAAATTTCTGAGGGAACAGAGGACACTGAAAACGCCTCATTTCTCCAGCATCAGCCTGGGCCAAGGAGAACAACCCCTTCACAAGTGTTTGGTCATGATAAGCCCTGTCCTCCTTATTTTTTGAGCCAGGTTATTTCAGGAAACAACTGTGTGAATTGTCAACTTGTAACCGTATCAATTTTCCATTTAACCAACAGAGTTCTGAAAGCCACAGAATTTCTTCTTTTTCTCCCCCCCCCCCCAAACACACAGGTGCGCCTCTTGTTTTGCATATACAGAACACTGAACTGCAACAAAAGCTACACACTTCACAACAAATGCAGCCAAATTTGATATGGCCTAAGTAGTCCAGAACAGTGTTTGCCTAAAAGCCACCTAGTGAATGGATAAATAGTTTTGCCTCATATCTACTTTTTAAAAATAATATGTAAATTAGTAAGTTGGGGTTTTTTTCTTTTCAGTTTTACCCTGAACAGTCTGGATTTTCTTGACCTCATATCCTTAGTTTCATAAACATTTCTTTTCCAGCACAGAAACAATAGTAAACACCAGGGTAATGTTTTAACTTCTTTCCAGAGAGGAAGAATAATAATGTCACCACCATAAAACAGCTTCAGTCTTCCTCAACTTTTAATGGGTAGAAGGGGAATCGAGGATGCACAAGTGAGACAAAATTTCCATGCCAGCCTCCTGTATCTCACTACTTCTCAAGGTAAGCAGCAGGGACAAACACTAGCCCAATAATATTTTCCAAACTCAGAAGTCCAGCCCTACTACTGCAGACATTTCTAAATGTGATTAAGTGTTCTTGGAAATTTAACTGATGGAGTAAAAGAGACAAAGAAAATAGAATCCACGTCAATTTCTTGGGCTTCTGAAGCAAGTGTAAGAGAATATTATCATTCATTCTCCTAGTGAAAACACACCCACTAGAAGGCAATCTGAAGTGCGTTATCAGGACAAAAAAATTAGGAACATTTCATTTCAAACATTTTGAACAGACACCTCTGCCCTACCTACACACCAAGCCTTGATAAACTCCTTCAATCCACTCTTTTGCTGAGGGGTCAGGGTGACAGAAAACAACATTAACAAGAGAAATAACCAAAAAACTACAGATTCTCTGCAACACACCAATAGCATGAGACTGTTGTTACTGTTCTCTACATCTGCCTGGTCTTCCACCTGCTGCTCTCTCCCAGGGATAAACAGATCTCTCTAGTGACACAAAAATCCTAGTTATTTTAAAAATCAGTTTGTATTATCAAAGATTAACGAGCACTAACTGTTAACAGTTAAAATATGGATCATGCTGATTCTGCGATTCTGCATTATGACAACCATCTGATACAAGCAGTGCTTTACCCTCTATCCTGATTTTTGCTTCCCTAAGAAAAAAAGACGACCTTTTACAAGAGCAGACTTGCACAGACTTCTGTGCAAAGGGACATTATTGTGCAGAAGTTTTACAGCAATGTACATTTGCTGACTTAAGATGTATGCAGAGCAAGGTGAGACGTGAATCTGAACACCCTTACAGGAAGGGCCTACATATAATAACATGAAAAAAATACACCCAGGTCCTTTGAGGCATAAAATATTTCCACTTTACCTTTAGGACTTGCATTAAAAAAGAGATTTGATATACAGTTGAACGAAGTATTTGGTTACTTATCATCATTTATTCTTTTTTACGGTGCTACTTACCTCATTTTAGACAGACAATAGGCAGCTGCTACTCTATTTTATTTGTGGAAAAAGGGATCTGGAAGGAACAAAACGCTGTCACTCAAGAAGGGATCACTAGAAATGGTAAAAGAAACTTGCCCTCCCAACTCCAAATCTAACACAAGAGACTGACAACAACCTACTTTACCTTGCAGTTCCAGGAAATCCACTATCAGAGCTATTACACAGACTATCACGAGAACCACCTGAGTATGAAATGACTATACCCAATTACCAATCAATCTGTACGTGTCTTAATGAAACAAACCATTAACTACAGCATGAGTCCATCCAGTCTATTCCCTCACCCCAAAATTCTTTGTTCACTAGCCCATGGGTCCAGTTAGTGCCACTACAAGAAGGCAGCCTAAATGAGTCACGGTTCTGTTTAAAATTCATCTGCACAATTTCTCACAATAATTGAGAAAGACAAACCTGTATTACTGGGCTATTCTAATTGCAAAACCACCACCCTTGAAACCAAACTCCCCAATAAACACACATTTGTGCTGAACAACCACTCTTTATGGCCAGGAGGGCAACGATTTATTTGGAAAATAAATATAATCCCAGCTCCAGTATTTTACAGCAAATAAGTACATCTTGATAAAACAGCACTACTTAATTAACCGTGCACCGTTTGTTGGACAGCTCTTCCGACAGTTCAAATGATGTCATCACTTCTTCAAACTGTATCTGGCAGCCAAGGCAGAGAGGATGTCCCTGTAGGGCGTGTGCGAGTCGGAGGGGGTGCGGGGGATGCAGCAGAGGCGGCGGACGGCGGGGGAGCGCAGGAGGAGGTTGTGGGAGAGCCCCAGGAGGCTGGAGCACAGCCAGTACAGCGCCATGGACTGCAAAGAGACACACACCAACCTCAGACACAACGCAGAGCTACCCCTGCAGGCAGCTCTTCAGGAACCACAACCACCGGCTGCTCCGTTACGGAGAAATATAACTCACCTAAAACCACTCTCTCAAAAACAATAATGGCTTCCATTTCAAATGCATTTTCCACTCTCAACTCTTCTGAGGAAGAAAAAGTCATCTACACTGAAGTTTGACAACAGCTCATAAATTAAGTCATATTAAACTTGCTTAAGCTTCTATATTTCAGACTATTAGGAAAAATTTTTTCACAGAAAAGGTCATCAGGCATTGGAATGGGCTGCCCAGGGAGGTGGTTGAGGCCCCATCCCTGGAGGCGTTCAAAAGACGGGTTGATGTAGTGCTGGGAGGTATGGTTTAGTGATGGTGATGCTCCTTGTTTGTTGTGTGGGTGTCTATTTTTGTCAGTTAGGTTGACGGTTGGACAAAATGATCTTTAAGGTCCCTTCCAACCTAGAAGATTCTGTGATTCTGTGATAATCCACACAATTAGATAATTTGGTTTTGCTAACTAAAATATTCAGCTGTAGAACACCTGGTTAAAAAAAGAAGTGTCTTAAGAAGATTGTGGAAAATTTCCTCATCTAAGAATTCCGCTGTGTTCCTCTTACAGTACACAAGTACTTAGCAAGCCTTTCTCTAAGTGTCCTTATATAAAGCTTTACTGTTGTTTTTGAAATGACAAAAAGGATGCTAACCTGCTCTGAAGGTCTTTCCAAACAAAATGCAAAAACGATGTTTAGAAACAGTAAGTTTCCAGATTCTTCCCTCTTGGACAAAAATATTCCAAACACATTTAAGAATTTAAATGCATACATCGGCAAAACACCCTATGTGATTTAGGACACACTGTAACAGAGAGTATGGTCTGTTAAATCCAGCAGGCATTTGGGTGCTCTTTAAGCACAAAGACCACACCAGAGTCCCTGGTTAACGGACACACCGCCAGGGCTCTGTACTTACAGAGGGGACTGTTGCAGCAACAGGGATCATCACTACTGACACCACGCGGAAGAAATTCGTAGCAAACTTCTGGAACCTGGAAACTTTCATCTTCTGCGAAGCAAATATCTGAAAGGGGAGAAACCCACAGTTATAAACAAGTTCTTTTTGAAACAACCAAAATGAGAAAAAACAGGCCACAGTGGGGTTTCCTGTAACCCAGCACTCTTCTCCACCCATTATTTTCATTTGGCACCCTCCGTTTCAGATAATAATCTGCCACAAGTTTTCAAACTTGATTGATGTTTCACACATTCAGTGTTTGGTAGACAATACTGTACCACCCTAGCCCGGTACCTAACAAGCATTTGAAGGTAACATAATTTTACACAGTCACTTTTGCACACACAAAGTTCCAAGGCCTCAGCCTGCAGCACAGCCCTCTGGGAAAAGACTGCCAACAGGGACTTAACACAGAGAATAATTAAGTCATTTTTCAGTTCTGATCAGTGCATTTAAAGCAGCGATAACCTGAAATTACCTTTATGGTATCATGATTTATAACCGGGTAACATTGTCTTACAATTCTATAAAAAGAATTATCCTTTTGCAATCATCCTATTTATTCCACCAACGTACCTCCACTATCAGCAAATTCATGAGCCCAAGCGAAATTGGCAAAATCCAGGTGGAATCTGGTGCAGTGAGATCTGTAAACCACAATGCTCCGCCTGCTGAAAACTGCTCCTGAACTACAAAAATAAAGAAAATACAGAATTCAGTATGACTTTCTGCCTCAAGTTAGTCAAAACCATACCATGGATCGCAATCAAAACATCCAAGTTTCTAGGTACATTTTATGTACATGATAAATACTATTAAAGCAGAAACCCTTGGTTCAGCTGACCAGATGTCAAGGCAGTCTGTGATCCACACAAGTGAAAAGCAGAGGGAGATACAAGCTGAGAAGCAGCTCAGCTCACAACAGCCACCAGTTCAGGTAAACCAGCAATAAAACTACCTTCATCTCAACCACCATTTTAGAAGCCAATAAGGAAAATATGCACATAGTAATATACAATGACAATAGTATTTTGTGGTTTTGAAATAATTACATTGTTTAATAACTATCATTATAACTTGTCACATTTTTTGTTAATAAGAACACACTATAAATTCTTTTCTACAAAAACCCCAAATACCAGCATTTTTACTTAAAAACCACCACACATTCACTTTGTCTATAGCATTCCATGCAAAACTCCACATGGAAGAAAAAAATACAGATTAATAATGAATATAATGTAGCCTGGGTAATATCACTAATCATGGGAATCAGAAAAATACCAAGACAGTATTTTTTTCTAGTAACTCTGTCTTCAGAAAACCACAAAATAATTGAATGCTCACATGTCTTAACAAAATGCTTCACATAGCACCCAGAGCTCAGACCCCAATACTACTTCTAAAGAGGCATCCCATAAAGCTCACACTACCACTAGAAATAATGAGTATATATGCAGAAATTGGGGATGCTCTGGATGCTTTCAACAAAGCACCTGTAAAAACAGTAACTGAGTAAAAAATGAGTGGTAAGAGCGTGTCTGTTCACATTAATCACCTTCGGAGCCCGAGGCACCAACGCTGCAGTTGCGTAAAGCCACGGACACACAAACCCACATTGGAACCTGCACCCACACCAGTAAAGTGGCTTTGAAGGGATGGCAGTTGTCTCGAATGTACAGCTCCGTAATAATCCTCCGGAGGTTCTTCTTAAAGTGGAACCTTTTAGAAAGAAAAAACAAAACGAAAAAACCTTTCACAACACCTGTTATAACTTTCTGAATAACTTCCTCAAATTCTGAAATAACACTTCTACAGTCTGTACATGTCAAATTGGCTTCTTTAGGTGCAAGTCTGGAGATCACGGAAAGCCTTTCCTCTTTAACTACGCCTCGCTTCTTTGCCAACACCGTTCCCCCACAACTTTCAGCCCTGTTCCTATAAGCAGTTTTTCATACAAAATTTCCCATTGGCACCAGCAGCTATCAATAACTTGTCTGATACTTTATTTCATGGCGCTTTTTGTCTGAACTAGGGTATAACTTTCCCAAAAGAGAGGCAATGAGCCAGTGAGGTGATGGTCAGTATCCCAGCTCACGGGGTACGGTACTGCACTATGAAACCAACAGGACCACAACCGTTCAAACCTCAAGTTCCAGCAGTATTTGGATGCCATAATAGCTAGGGAAACTTTAGTCATAAGCAAAGACAATGAAAACAATCCTGGATTTGGCCCTGTAATCATAAGCAAATCACAAGTTCAGAGCTTTAAAATGGATATACTCTGAAGGGCAATATAACACAAATAAGTGGTAGAAGTGGTAGGAAAACCTAAGCTTCGGGCAATGGCAAAATCCCTCTGTAAGACTGTTGTTTGTAGGACTTTCCCTCCTGCTACCCCCAGCCTGAAATACATTTATAAGGTGTATATAAATGCCATCTTACCTGGCCACCTTTTCAGACCACCCCTGTTGCTTCCCACGAACAGACACTTCATAGCGAAGGCGCTCAGCTAGTTTTTTAATCTCAGGCTGCAAGTTTTCCAACTAGCTAAAGAAAAGGAAAAACATTTATGCACAGTTACATGTAACAACCACTTTCTCTCCCCACCTGATCCTGCACAGACATTAAAAAGGACCTTGAAGGACAAGGCATACACCTGCGAACACCTTTTATCTTTAAACAAAATTACCTAATAAGTAGTATTTACAGTAACAATCAAAAATGCTATCCTACTACTTAATGAAATAAATACAGAATTAGATTTTGTATCTTGTTCTAAATAAGCTTTTTGTCTTCTTTCAGAAATTGTGACCAGCTACTTCACTTAACAAAAAAACCTTTAATGCCACATCAAAAATATTAAAAAAAATAATAATAATCAATGTGGGTCCCTGAAGAACCCCCTCCACGAAACACACCTGCAATTACTAATCTGACCATTACACAGGTGTAGAACAAAGGTCCCACTGAGTCCCAATCACTGAGTTCTGGCAGGTGTGGAGCACCACCATAAAATCCTTACTTGGGGAAGAAACAGCACAGAAAAGGAGAAACACCTGACTTCATACCACAGTGCTGCAAAGGCTGCTTTGTCCCTGCAAGCACAGCATAGAACCTCTTTAGTAGCTTCAGCTGTTTGAGCCTTTTGAGAAAAAGTAGGTATTTAGAAACTGCTGAAAGCTAGTTTACGACAAGTTTTTATCAGAGCAGCTTTACCAAGAGCTTTAACACAGCAAATCACAGAAAAAAAACTTGGACACGCATCTGACTCTCACTAAACTAACCCCATTTCGTGGAGTGACCACGAAAAATCACAGAATGGTCAAGATCAGAAGGGACCTTTCAGTCCAACCATTAACGCTGCCAAACCCATCACTAACCCATGTCCCTCAGCACCACGTCTGCCCGGCTTTTAAATACCCCCAGGGATGGGGACTCCCCCACTGCCCTGGGCAGCCTGGTCCAAGGCATGATAACCCTTTCTGCTACGAAATTTTTCCTGATATCCATCCTAACCCTCCCCTGGTGCAACTTGAGGCCGTTTCCTCTTGTCCCATCGCCTGTTCCTTGGGAGAAGAGACCAACCCTCGCTTTGCTACACCCTCCTTTCAGGGAGCTGGAGAGAACGAAGTCTCCCCTGAGCCCCACATATGCAACCAGACCCCTGGCGAAGAGAGAACCTGCGGCCACGGCCCCCCATCGGCGGTTTGAGAAAAAGCGGGTATTTAGCAAATAAAAACCCCCCATCGGCGGGTGAGAAGTTCCCGACCTTTACGGCCAAACACGGCTCTCCCCACAACTACCGCCCTGCCCGCCGCAAGGCCCGCACGGCCGCCGGCCTAGGGCACCCCGAGGGGCGATAACTGAGGGAGGAGCACCCTCCTTCCTTCCCTCCCTCCCTCAGCGCCGGCCGCCAGGCACCCACCTTGGCCAGGAGGCGGCCCTGGTGCGCGGCCAGCGGCAAGGTGACGGCGGTGCGGAGCAGGGCGGCTCCGCAGGCGATGGCGGCCCACCAGGGCAGCCCGGCGGCCGCCTGCAGCCCCACCAGCCCCTCCTCGGCCCAGCGCACGGCCGCCGACC